GTTTTATGGGGGAGGTAGTGGAGTAGAGAAAGTTGGTTTGTAAAAATTAAATAATTGAGAGGTTACTTTAACTTAAATTATTCAGTTAAGCTGCACTTCAATAAAAAATGTGGCATCTCTCTGATTGTTGAATGATTTATAAGGTGAAGTGTACGTAGATTGCTAGATTTGTGTATTCCCTCGGCCTCTCCCCAGTATCAGCAAGGACCATCCAGGTATATAAAGCAATGCATTTCCTCCCACTGCTCAGTGTAGCGTCAGCAGGCCAACTGTACACTAGTCTACGCTAACTTCAGCACGGTGATTGGCGTCTCCAGGGCACGTAATTGCCCCCAGCGTTCATTTTCTACCTGTATATTTGTATTGCTGTAAAGCCAGCCATGGAGTGTTAACCCCCCACCCCCCCTACCCCACCAGTCCACCCACCCCCCAACCATGAATCCCACCAGTTCCCTAAAGTGTTCTCGTTTCTGCTGTCATGAGGGTGCCATTGGCCTCCAAGATGACTGGCTGGGCCAGGCAGAAGGTGAGTTGGGGAGGGATGCATATTGAACAGTTTATTTGCAGTGACTGGTTAAAATGTGTTTTGATTTGTGTATATGCATATTTCTATTTGTAATTTTGTTTGATGTAAATAGTTTGGTTTTTCAAGTATTTAAATTTTTAATAATTTTCAGTACTTGCCGCCCAAGACGCGCGTGATACGTGTGATGCCAAACACGCCAGCGCTGATCCAGACAGGTGCCTCCGTGTTTGCACCAGGTAAACATGCGCTGGACAACGACAGTGATGTCGTGGCCACTCTACTGTCCAGTATAGGCATTTGTGCCGAGACGTCCGAACAAATGATGGACGCAGTGACCGGTTTGAGCGGCAGTGGACCCGCATATGTAAGTTTGAAGCTATTGGTTTCAATGATTCTTTCTTCAAATAGTTATAGTGATGTTCTAAAACTCCAGAATGTTTTATTTTTGTTTATCATTTTTTAAAAATATTTTTATTTTTATTTTATTTTATTTTTTTTGCTGAACTTTTTTTACTGTATCTTAACATTTTGACTTATGAACTCATGGACTGACTCTGCTTGGTAACTTCCTTTTTCAAAACAAATAAATCATCCGCCTACTTGTCTGAAAATTAAATAGAGTTGTCTCAAAACTTTTTTTCATAGAGAGAACATTTATGCAGTCTATTATATATTAAACAGTGGAATGATTAGTTCCTATTTTTACCACCAGGGGTACATGGCAATAGAATCAATGGCCGATGGAGGGGTCAAGATGGGCCTGCCCAGAGACCTGGCTGTAAAACTTGCTGCTCAGACACTTATGGTGAGAATTTAATTTTTTTTTCATATATTTTTAACATTATTATTATTATCATTATTGTTATTTATTGTTTTTTTTTATTGGGGGGGGGGGAGAGGATTGTTAAATGTTATCATTTTATTCTTCTTCTTTATGATTGTAATTTCTATTGCTTGTTGTAACATCAAGTTTTTTGTTTTGATTTATTTATTATTGAAGTACTAAGTACATATTAATGGTATAAAGCAGATAAAGTATGAGAGGACATGATAGAGACAACAGAATAACCAGATATTTCATGTCTATGCAGGGTGCTGCTAAGATGGTCCTGGATACAGGCAAACATCCAGGTCAACTGAAGGATGAAGTCTGCTCACCAGGGGGCACCACGATAGCAGCAGTCCACTCGCTTGAGAAGTCGGGATTCCGCGCCTCTCTCATTGCTGCTGTGGAAGCAGCAACTGAACGATCCAAAGAACTTGGGCGTAAGGAAGAAGAGGGATCGTCACGGCAACAGAAAAGGATATGACACGCAGAAACAACTGCTGCTGCTGCTGCCATCTTTTGGAATTTTCAGTTACTATTTTAAGTTGATACATTGAAACATTTGTTTTATGTATTTGTTAGTTTGAAATAATATATATATATATATGTAACGGCTTTCAGCGAGTGACCATGTCACTTTATTTGTCACAGCTCTCATATGCCATGAGTAGTAAACAACTTTTTTGTTAACAGCTTGCTTTAAAAACCAGGTTTGAATAATGTTTTCATTTACTTTGAAGAAAAGTTTCCTTGGTGTTTTTAACGTAGCAACATAAACCCTGTTTTAATATCATCATAGTATTTCTATAAAATGTTAGGGTGCTTTATGCAGGAAGGTGCAAAAAGAAGCATTTATTTAAGACAAGCCAGTGAGTCCCAGGCTGCTTAGAGGGAACAGCGGCCGTTAGAACATGCAACATGGTGTGGCTTTGTTGTCATAATGTGTACATTTGAGTGTCAGTTGCTCTGGAATCCAGGATTAATATGTTATCTCCTCAGCTTCTGAAGTCATTCATGCACTACTTGGGTTCATCTATGAGAGTCAGACTTAATATAACAATTGTTAAGTTAACATCTTTGTATTTTGCTGTATAATCAACTATACTAGGGAACACACAGTACTATACCAGGGAACACAGAGTACTATAGGGACCATCATGGGGGACTTTCTTGCCATTAGGTGTCATTCTCAGTGTTTTACATTAAAAGTTGTTACTTGAAGTGAGGTGCATCTTGAACAATGTAACAATTTCTTTTATTTCCTCAAAAGTTTGGAAACAAATTTGGGCATTTATCACACGGAAACAAATTTGGGCATGTCCAACCAGTGGCAGTAGTTGTTTTTGAAGAATATTTGTAAAACCAACCCCTCTTTGTTTGTCAAACACTGATCATAACGTTGTTTGGATTGTGGGTTGTGCAGTATGTAAAGAAGGCAGACAAAGTGATGTTTCTGCTAGAATTTAATTTAGGGTCTGCTACCAATGTTGTAATCAAGTCATTCAAAAACTATCAAAATAATAAACAACCCAAATGCCACATTTAAATGTGTAAAAAGTAAAATAATTTAAAATAAATCTGTAAAATTGTCAAGATTGCACTCAATGTTCCAGGGCAACCTGTTGATGATGTTTATTTTCAAATGAGTTCAACTCTCACTAGAAGATCAGTATTTTTCAAAGATGGATGAGATGATAGAGGTCTTATTGTTAATACACTACATTGATCTCTGGTGATTTGAAATATTAGAAGTTGCTTGGTAATCCTCTGGCTATGTTGATCCACATATAACATCTTCAAATGAGGTGATTTGCTCTTATTAAGAGGTATATGTTTATCAAATAAAATATATGTAAAATAAAAGAAAGTTATTATGTTAAAAAAACCTGCAGTATGTCTTATTTCTGTCATAGAATCAGTTATTTGAAAAAAGTCCAGTTCTTGTATATTGAAATACCTTTCAGCAGATGTTTGCAGTCAAAATTCATTTCTTAAATCTTTCAAAACTTGCTTGTACTAAATTTCGGTTCACTTTAAGTTTTATATAAACCAACTTTGATGTTGGAAAAGAGAACTCCATTGTGACATCTGATAAAAAAGTTTTAAAAACCTTTATTTTTCTGTAAATAAAATTTCACTGAGATACCAAAAACAAAGGGTATTGAAAATCGTACTGCATCCTACAGTGAATGGAGGAATGGAAACCAATCACTAGAGCAATGGCGGTTTTTCCAAAGCCATCTAAGTGGAATATCACAATAAATAGAATCGAGTGAAACTTCACAAAATAAATGGGGGAGCTAAGTTGTTACACACCCATATCATTTGTAACATTCACTGATGATGTGACATTTTAAAATCAATCATGGCTGTAAAATATTATACAGAAGGTGACAGTTTCACTGCGACACAAACAACATAAAATGAAGTTAAACCACTCTTTACTGGTTGTATAAAAATATAAAAGAACAGAATGAATGAATACTGATGAATGAAACCTGTGAACTAAGGAGAAAGAACATAGTAATATCTATCATAAAATTGTAAACACTTATTGGGAATAGTCTACAGAATATGTGAATGTTGACCAACAATCCCAATGAATAAGAATTAACAAAGAGATGTAAATAAAGATATGGGACAAACCTTTAATAAATATATTGAAGAGACATTTAATAAAGAGACAGGCAAGTTTGGCACAAAAACAATGGAAGAGATTTTTTAACTATTGGCCTTCTCCCTGCTATATAAACTTCTAGATAAATTTAGTTTCAAGTTGATAATATTATCTAAGAAAAGGAAAATTTACTTAATATATAAAATAAAAAATGAATTTTAATACTATGCATAAGCTCACAAGTGTCTCAGTTAAACAAACTGCTTTGGCAGTGGATAAACAGACAAGTCACCATCTATGTATAAATATGTATATCTGTGTATAAATATTGTAAAGTCAACTGATGCCCAGTCTATCAACCAGAGGGACTTACTTCATGCTCACTGCTCAAATATTTCAAGAAATCAGACTTTTTAGACACAATGTATGCATTTAAGACCTAAAAAGTTACAAGTGAAAAAAAAAAAAAAAGAAAAAAAAAATGCTGTAGAAGTTAGCACATGCACCTGCCATTGTTGACTAGATCAATGTCATAACAACACATCTGGTTAAATGAAGAGGTAAAAAATCCATAACTGCTTTATACAGCTGACTAGTTGATGACTAGTTGATATACGATTCCCCAGGGATGTAAAAGCAATTTTTCTTTTTTAAAATATGTAAATAAATAAAAAGAAATACCGCTATCATCTATGCCATAAAATTTATATTATAAACCCGGTGACTAGTTCACACATAATACTGCTCTCTGCCTAAACAAGGTTTGTCTTGTATACCATCAACGCCAGGCAGGTTTGCATTACATCATTCTTCTTCAACTACCTTTCACTGTGCTGATATTAATGTGCAATCTCCTCAAACACGTAAAAGATTTCAAATATTTAAAGTGACTCTCCTCATATGAAATGTCCTTAACTATGGTAGGGGTACATCTAGACATGTTTAAGTCACCCTCAAAAACTCTTTTCCTCATTTGAGAATGACGCAACTCAAGTATATTAATAGCAACAACTTCACTTAATGAGAACTTCAGATAACTTGGTAGAACTACTTACAGTGTGATTATATTTTATTAACTTGAATCAATATGGCTGATAGGGAGATGTGAATAAATAGCCTTTTAAGTAAGACTTTTATTATTTATCAGAAGAGGTAGGAAGGCTTGTATAAACAATGATACACCCCACTCTTGCCTTCCTCTCCTCTTTACTCTAGAGACAGGGTCTTCACAGCACAAATTCTTCAGAAACTGGGGGTCCACAGATGCCAACTTGGCAGACAGGAAAGTTGGTGTCTCAGAAATTCTTCAGAAACTGGGGGTCCACAGACGCCAATTTGGCCGACAGGAAGGCGTGGATTGACAACAACAGCGTCTGCAGTGCCGTACACTCCAATTCCTGGAGAAGAAAATTGAAAATTATGAGAGTGTATTAATAAAATGTTATAGCATGGGGCTCTATGAGATGACTCCTTCATGTAATAGCCAGGTTAAAACAATGTGTTCCAGAAAACAATGTGATCCAGAAAATTCCAAGTGTATACGGCATGCTGAGAAAAGGGCCAAAGTAAAACCCATAACAAGAGTATTCACCACATACCCTTGTTTCCACATTCTGTTTGTCTTCTGCAAAGAAGTTCAGTCGAAGTTTTGTCTTCCCATCATCAGAGGATCCCTTCAGTTGGGAGAATTTGTAATTCCACATGAAAATCTGAAAGAGTAGATAACTGCAATGTGATTGGACCACCCCTGGAGTTGAGAGAATTCGTATTTTCTGAACAAGATTTAACACATTTTTAGAGATGTCCAAGACCTAGTTAATGCTATACACAATTTACAACACTTCTTTTCATTTAAGTTAAAATCAGAGATAGAGTTCAGCAATGAACTGGTATGTGTCACAGATGACAAGCACCAAGCAGGGACTATAATGCACAGAAAAGGCTGCAGGTTTTTGCTAGAAAATGTTAACAGCTGTTGATCAAAATTTTGGCCCCAAACTTGTTCAGCACCCTTCAATCCTTAATCAAATCTCCCTCCTTAAGTTTCACTGTCATATAGTGAGAACCCCCCAACTTTAATCAATTGTCCCTCCTTAAGTTTCACTGTCATATAGTTTGTACCCCATAGCTTTAATCAAATCTCCCTCCTTACCTTGGTTTCACTGTCATAGAGTGAGAAGCCAGCCTGAAGGTCCAGAGTCAGACCACAGATTCTGTCCCTCCAAGAACAACCAAATGTTTTACTCTGAAAAGACCAAGTACAGATACATGTATATTCCTATAAAGAGTAAGTTGGCCTAATTTGCTGCCAGGATAAAGAGTGGAGGGATACACAGGTTTGAAGATATACATATTAACCCTGTATACATATTTACCTTCACAAAGTAGGTTGCGATTTTGGCTCCATTAGTTTGTTATAGTCTGACTTCAACATTATGCAAATAGTTATGGATAGATTTTGATGAAATTTTCAGGATAAGTAAGAAATGGACCAACTAAAAAGTGTTTAGATTTTTGTGATGATCCATCAATTAATAAATGGTTACATATTGATTAATTATTTGTATTGGCAGCAGTCTGTGTTTTCCAAGTGGTTTACAAGTTCTAGAATGTCTGTCACATGGTGTCTAATTTACCCCAATATGTCTGACGGCCAGATAGTTGGCTCTGTGCCAAGCTTTCTCCAGATGCAGCAGCTGTTCTCGCGTCTCCATGCTCATGTACAGTCCGCCATGCTGCGCCGTCTGCACCACAAAACAGTACTGACGGTCATCTATCAGCTCTTTGTGCTGGAATGACCAATCACAGCAATGATGACAATGTGGAAGCTGACAATGTGACAAGGTGTCTCATTGGCTAGGAATTTTTTTTTTTTAATTTTTTAATTTCTTTTTTATCATCACTTCAGGGATAAATATTTAAAAATCAGGTAATTATATGATTAGTTGAGATATTTTTATGACAACAATATGTTTTACAAGCAGTACAACATGTACATGTTGAAAGAAATTGTTTTTAAGTGACTTACTTTTAATATTCTGAACATAGTTTCATAAATCTTGTAAATCCTCTCACATCTTACCCAGTCTCTTGTTTGAACCTGAAACAATGACCATCAGTGTGCTATATCAACCTGAGGGCAGGGCACTTTATACTATTACTACCAAAACATGTATTAAAGTAAATGTTCACTTTCATAATAAATTCATCAAACTGACATAAAGGAAAAAAGACCGTATATATGTACAGTTGAGATATAATTTTGAGCAATGTTCACTTTCATTTGTGCAGGTGAAAAAAATGGATATTTACATACTAAAGGATGGAAATAAATGGATAGAATGACTCTTGCATTTAGCACACAACATTTCAACCACTTGGAATACCTTTACATATCACAAGTAATAATTGATGGTACATTTCTACTAACATGCCAAAAAGGAGCACATGTAAATGAATGCGGTACTTGGAGACAGACTGGGTGACTTCAAACACATAAAACTCCTGTCACACATAAATGTAGTAGACTTACTGGGGGAGCGTCAAACACGTAAAACTCCTGTCACACATAAATGTAGTAGACTTACTGGGGGAGCGTCAAACACGTAAAACTCCTGTCCTTTCAGCGCCACAAACTTGGGTCGCCAGTGCTGCCACTGCCGTGTGGACTGCAGGTGCTCACAGCTCCAACACATGGTGTGAATCTGAAATATAGAGTTTACAGTCAGGAAAACATCTTCAGCATTCTACCAACTTAATATTGAACTGCTTCTATTAATTGTTATCATCTCGTGTGTTGTTACAGTTGCCTACTGTAATAACCTACCAGTGCCTTGTTTACTCTATGCTATCTATTCAGCACCTCCATGCCAGGCATACTCACATGTTCATTTGGCACAAGAACCTTATTAGACACCAGCACCTGCAAAGAAACATTTAAAATCCAAGTAGATGTTAGAGGTATCAATATAGAGTCACATGTATATATGCCATCTTTTAGCTCAAGCTAATTTACAGATTTGCCAACATCATAATCATCATCATTAGCTCAAGTAAAATTTCGTCACCAAGAGGTAAATACTACAACCCCTGTAAACATTTGTCTTATTTAACCTTCACTTACAGTTCTCAATCTTTCCTAGAACATAATGATTTTCTCTTTTAATGAAAATTGTTCTCATACTCTGTTCTGAGACATTCTGAAGGACTGTTATATTAATTACAGAACAACATTAGAACTGAAAAAAAATCACACCAAGTTTTCTAGAATAGATTGAGAACCCTCAGTGAACGTTGAATGATACAAATTTTCGAGGGGAAAACAGTTTGTTATACTTAAGTCTAACTGATCAAGTGCCCACAGTAAAGAGTCAACTCACAGCCTGGTTGTTGAGAACAGCAATATTGTTGGTGATACATCTTATCCACTCTGCCAAACTCTTCCCGTCCTCGCACTGCAGCGTTCCTGACAGGGTGCCGTCCATGGCGATCACTTCGTAACAGTTAGGTCTGCAATATTGGAATGTATAAAACTATACAGACAGACACACAGACAGACACACAGACAGACAGAAAAAAGATGGATAAACAAAATGACAAGTACAGAGAGAAATGAAGACAAATAGGCAAACAAACTGACAATGACTGATAAGCTCAATATTAAAACAAAGTTACCTGATAGCACAAAAGTTCATTTTGTTGAACTTATTAGCATTTTAATGTGCTGCAGTATAAATAAATTATGTAGATGTACATCACTGATATGGTACAAAGAAAGCTGGTATTCACCTCATTTTATCTGTTCCTGTGATGTACTTAGTGACATATGCATAGAGTAGAGGTATGGACACCACTGTGGACCAATGATGGTGAGGCTTCTATAACAGAATATAAAACAAATCATTTCATTGGATAACAGCTGCCCATTGTAGAGGTATGGAGACCACTGTGGACCAATGGTGGTGAGACTTCTATAACAGAATATAAGCAGCTACAACTACCTAGGAATTCTTTTCACTAGATCTGGCAAATTCACTGCAGCTCAAACAAGATTAAAAGAAAAAGCACAAAAAGCCTTTTTTGCACTAAAAAGTTACTTTCCTATAACCAGCCCTATTAAATCATCCCTCAAGGAAAAACTTTTCGACACAATCATAATGCCAATTGCAACGTACGGATCAGAAGTCTGGGGATATATCCCTCTTACAGACAGATCTCCATCAGAAAAGCTAAATCTCAGTTTTTGTAAACAAATTTTAGGTGTTCACCCAAAAACTTCAAACCACACAGTAAGAGGAGAGACTGGAAGGATTCCTGTTTACATAAAAATTAACATACAATTAATAAAATTTTGGCTCAAAATATTACGCACAGACGAAAACAACCTACTCAAACAAGCATACCTAGATGAATTACATTATTACAATTTACTCACAACAAAAAGCCTGCCAAACCTGAACGATGATAACCTGTCATGGAGTGAAGGTATTATGAAACTCTTGTTTGAAAACGGATTTGGAGATGTATGGCTAAAACAGAATCCTGACATAAATTTCCTAAGTATGTTCAGAGAACGAATCATAAGTGGGTACATACAAAACTGGCACAGTGAGCTTGAAGACAAATCCAAATCCAGAGTATATTGCCAATTCAAAAATACATTCAAAAAAGAAAAATATCTAGACCTTCTTCACGATACTGATAAAAGAAAAAACCTAAGCCGTTTTCGCACCAGTGGGCATAAACTTCACATTGAAACAGGCAGATACAATAACACTCCTCGGACCGACAGAATATGCCATTACTGTTCTAAAGACAAAATTGAAGACGAAAAACACTTTCTCACAACATGCCCCCTATACAACGACCTGCGAACAATATTATATAAGGTATTTACAAAACACGATACACATTTTGGCCTAAAAACAAC